GTAAGAGTTGAGCATGCGTCTTGATTTCAGAGATTATCAACTTACTGACAACCTTATGAAATAAAAAGTGTTAACTATGTACCTAACCTCTAAATAAAGCTTATAAATTATGATTTTGCTATATAGAAAGAATATATTAACTACTTTAAAAGCAATAATATAAAAATATAATAAAACAGAATAGTTTACCGAAGACGTCGATTGTTTTTGAGCAATAATGAGACTTTAATCTTTCCTAGCAAACTAGTTTTGTGTCTTATTTCAGTTCTAGACTTGATGTTTATAGGTATATGCAGCAACACTCATATCTCATAAATAGTTTATCCCAATAACATAAACACAAATCATTCATGATAATGTATGTCCATCAAAAAGGAGAATGATAGTTTACAAATGAAGGGGTTAGAAGCAAAAGGGTTCAAGTGATTTTTTTTTAAATGAGTCAAGTGCATTTAAATTGTTTTATCTAAAACAAACTACACGTTTTCAATAACATGCTTTTTATACCAGCTGATAAATGTTGTTAAGACATCAAAAATCACTTGTATCGTTTTAGCACCAAAAAATAATAGTTTTAAATAACGAAATATGCACTTAACTGATTTAAAAAGAAATATCACTTGAACCCTTCAAACTCCTTCAAATGGTATTTGTCCATTCATTTATAAAAAGAGAATAATTGACAGTTATCACATGCTGAATTCAGAATTATCTCATTGGCTAACCGTAAGGTCTTAAGTTAAGTTGTTAAGTTAAAAGTTGACGAACTTTCTACGGTACGTTAAGTTCTTAAGTTACGTTACGAACATTATAAATAAGTATACGTAAATTCAATATTTCAACTTCTTATGTTAAGTTCTTAAGTTACGTTACGGCGGTTATAAATTAAGCTTAACTGCTGCACAAAATTTCTATAATCATCTGGAATTTCTCTGTCGCGTAGTAAACTAAGAAGGTCCTTTTTTTGCATTGGAAACTGGCAGGACACTGCTGTAGTCTGGTGCGAGTTGTAAATCATATTGTGCACACATATTGAATGTCACATACAATGTATGTACTATGTATATTTTTTATTAGTGGACATGTATTTATTGTTACTTTACTAACAACTGGTAAACCGTTTTAAGTGGACAATATTTGGGAACCATAAAGATTACACCTTGAAGGACATGGAATCGTATATATCCCATTTTCGACCAAAATGGACACAATTTGTCGTCTTAAGGTCTGTTCCAACAACGATCAGAAACCAATCACTGACACCAGGATTCTGCGCAGTTGATTATTTCTACCGCAAAATTATATACTACGCAGAATCCTGATGTCAGTGACTGGTTTCTGATCGTTGTTGGAACAGACCTTTTGCCACCGATATGTTGTATCAATATATTAAAATGATTAGTCAAATAAATGGCAACCTTAAAAGAATTTTTCTAACATGCATTAAAATATTTGTGAGCAACTTCATTATGTAGCTTAGCAATAGTTTTAGATAGGAGTGTTAAAAATATGATGCCGTCATTAGAGCTTTCACTATAATGAATAACAGCAAGACATTTAAAATTTCTTTCACGCTCGTCTCTCAAAACTTTTTAATTATGTACAAATAATTTCTGACACTGCATTTAATCATAATAAAGCTATTAAAACATCAAAGATTCATGCAGCTAGTAATGAGTACATACATCTATAATTAATTTAATCGCGATGGCTGTCAATGACCCCTGACAATTAACATAATTAATTCCATGGCCTGTTAGTGAATTTAAAGAATGCAGTCTACATCATAAGAATGCCATCGCGACCCACTTTTTTAAATTATAGATTTGATAGCACTGTGGAATTTCACAGACAATTTTGTATGGACCTGCTTTTCACTACTGTGTTCGGTAAAAAACAGAAAACAAAGTACATTTAAGATTTTACCATTTTAAAAGTACGCTAAGTTAATTTTTGATCAATAATATAAAACAAATTAAGAGTTGAAAAAAAGGGACCAAATAATAAATTTTTATTAATTATCTAGCTAGATTATATAGCTAAGTCTATGTTAAAAAGAACAGGATTTATTTTGATTATATCACCCACAATATCCTTATTGACAAAGCATTTTTAAATAGTTACTTACGTGTAAATACTTTAAGATAGAAATGTCAACGTCAATTCAGAGAAAAAATAAAGTTGGACATAGGCGTGATTTTTCAGTTGCACTTTGAATTGTTTCTGTGATTAGTAAAATTCAAATAAATGAGGTTAAATTTTCTTTAAATCATTAAATGAGAACTCGAATTCCTCCTACGGAATTAAGGCATCCGTCCCCACAAACCGAGGGTGAAAACAAACCAAATCCAAAAATATGCTTTGTGAATTAGGCTAAAAGCGAAAGGTGATCCACTAAGGTCAAAACGTACCTGTATTTTGGAAATTACCTAAAATTCGTATGATTTCGGTGATTCGCCGAAATCCACCTTAATTTTATACGATTTTGGTGATTTTGCCAAAATGTCCCTTAGAGGGATAAATATTCTAAACTCTAACGCGCGAAGTTGAGACAAAGGAATCGAAAAATATTCCACAATAGCACAAAATAATATGTATTTTACAATAATTGATTATCTGGAATTCAAAAGCGTCCAGATAGTTGAGCAATAAATTCGCTCCTGCACCAAGTGTCCACAAGGAAAGAAATAATACGGGAGGCCAATGTAAGCGGACCATAAACGGTCTCCAGACCACAATATATCCCCTGTAGTAGTGCATCTCACCTGTTAAAGAGTTGGCACTAGGTTTGCAGCGCTAAAATGTGTATGTATGGCGGCAATTTCAAATATAATTTTAAGGCGAAATTTAAATTTCGTAAATTTCCAGCAGCGGAATGGCGGAATTGAGAAGTATATTGCATGTTCCATTAAACGAGCTCTAAATCCAGGCGCTATTTTTATTTTGATAGCTAAAAATAATACTAATTCTTTTATTGTTAGCTATTACAATAAGAGCAGCATTTGGATTAACAACACATTTAAAAGAACATGTAATATACTTTTCAATTTTACCTGAATCACTTATTTTTTACCTATAGAGGTTAGATCTGAAAAAAAATTGGCTCTGGTATAAAAAAAACAAAAAATTGTATAAAGTATTTTATTTGAAAAATTATTTAATTTATTTTAAAGTCGAGGATAACTCTAGCCATATCCATTTTACTGAAGAAAAAAAAGAAACTATTAAATGAAATCATTTAGTTATTAAGAGATGTTTGTGATAATACAGTGACAGCTATCGAATGTTGTACAATACGTTTTACTAATGTCCAAGTAAAAACTACAAAGAGTTAGCATTATTGGGAGAAGGAATAGAATACTATGAACGTAGCCAGCCGGCTACGTGGCGATGCATCGCACCGTGTGCCTGTTCATATTACACAGCACGCAAGGCAACATTCATATTCGTTTACTGATCGCACTAATGCTAACTCTTAAGTTTTCTCTTCGATGCTAGCCAAGCGTATTGGAAAGTGTTCATTAGCCGATACTGTATATAAATGCTAAAATCAATAAGTGAAATAAACATTTTTACTTTAAATTGACACCTACTTCGAAAAAGCAGAAAAACTGAAACAGTAAATTATACTTGAATTTTAAAGGCTGTTGCCACTGGAAAACTATTATCTAGGGCTTGGATGCCAGCCATAGGACTCCCTCCTTGAATCGTGTCCATAGGAAAGCATAAGATCTTAGTTAAATTATAATATTAAGAGGGTAGGTATTAACTGAAAAAATATGAAAAATTATTACAAACTTACCTCAAAATTGGCACCTACATTATAAGAAGGGAAAACGGAAACATAAAATTGTTATACTTGAATTTTAAAGGCTTTTCCCATTGGAAAAGTATTATCTAGGGCGGAGACCCTTGGATGACAGCCATAGCGATCCCTCCTTGATTTCTCTTTTTCTGAGTTTGTTGTACGTTTTGTTTTCCATATTAAATAAGTAAGCACTTAATAAAACAACACAAATCACAACAACTATCGCTGAAACAAAACTAATATTAATAGAAGGTATAAATTTCGTAGAAGAAAAAATCAAAAAATTATCACTTGTCAATACTGTCACTTCATGCTTCGCTTGTCAAAAACTTCCTCTTCAACTAATGAACGTGCCGATGTTGGACGTGTCAAAATTCAAAACGATACTAGCGCCATGAGGCCTGTGTCTCGCCGCAGCGTAACTCAAAGCCATTTCTTGAATCCCAGTAACATTACTATAGGGGATATATTGTGCTCCAGACATTTTACATTTGGATACAACAAATAATCAATCAGCATTTTTTTCACAACGAAGTTACCTACCTCACTCCAGTGTCTCCAAGAGCTATGAAATTTTTGGTTAACCCTCTTGTTTTCTAACATACATTTTTCAAATATTTTCTTCATCTCCATCAATTTCGTTATGGCTTGATTCTTTACTGCTATAAAGATCCAATATTCAAGCTTGTCCTTGCTTTTGTACTGTAATTGTAAATTATTTAGCTGCCAAATTTTAAAAAACAACCGTTTTGACAGGTTTTCGTTAAAAAATATTGAACCAAATGTTGAAAATAGCAAGCCATCCAATATACACATCAATTCATGATATTATTATAATCTATTGAACACAACTCTTGGTATCTGGACGATCGATAATCTCAACTCCACGTGCAATTTTTGACAATTCGTTTCGTGCATTAGCATATGCGATTATCGATAGCCCCAATACCACTCTTTTTTAAGTATGTCATAGGAGATATATTTTTGAAATTGATTTCACAATAAATATGGTAAATTTCAATGCATCTTGAATACAATCCGAAGTACTCTCAAACAAAGCACGTCAACCACTATTTTGTTCTTGTTATAAAACATAATGTTAGTTAATCCGAAATAAAACTTTCACAAAATATCAACCCTATAACTAATTTATAATGTTGTTATGATACTTATAAACTATTCTTTGTTTCAGAGAGAAAAAATACAAATGCCACGGAAAATCAGGAGCGCATGAAAGAACAACTTTTAGAAGAATAGAAAATACAAAATCACATTTAATGTGCTGCCATCATGACATGTGTAATCATATAGAAAGTCCCCAAACCAAAAATCTTATTAATAGTACTTTATTAGGTAAGTAAAATCGTACGGAGTAGGTATTTTATTATCATTAGTTTGACATTTTAATAATAAATGAATAAGACAAGCTAGGTATTAAGCTAAACAGCTTGAGGCTGCAGATACTTTATTGGGACACTGTCTCGTAAAATATGATTGCAAAAATACTCTATAAATCTTGAGCACCGATTTGGTATAGTGTCAATCAAAAATATCTTGGTCTTGGAGAAGCTACGTCTATTTAAGAGCAAACCGAACACCTTGAAAATTTATAATTCTTTCTGAGCCTTTATTTTCAGTCCGATTTTTGTGAAATTTTCAGGAAATACCAACAATAACAAAACTTAGGGTGGAGAAACCTTGAATTTGTTGTAAACCTTCGAAAATTATTTATTTAGAAAATGTTTTAAAGGAAATTTTAAAAAATATTTACACGCCATTCTGTAATAAATCTATGAAAATTTCCTGCTTTTTGTTTTAACAAATATCTAGTAGTTTTTAAATGCCTTATCGTTGCACAAATTTAAAGCTCTCAATATTCTCAAGACATATAATATCACGAAGTATTCCCAGCGGCGAGCATATAAATACAATTTTGTATTAAAAAATCCTTAAAACACTTTTGCTTTTGTGAGAGGTCCGGTTTGCTCTTAATAGCCACAATATTATTTTTATTTGTAATATTCCTTTTAATTATAGATGATTCTGTAGAAGAAACGGACAGCAGATACCAACAAAAGCAGGAAACTTTTCTGTACTCGGATTCAGAAGTATGGTTTAGAGCAGCCACAATTGCTGTTCCTATATGCGGAGCTGTAATTCTTTTTGTACTCATAGCGTTAGCTGTCAAAATATTAAAGAGCGAACACCAGAATTCTGCTATTAACAAACTGGGGTGAGTTAGGTTTCTTTAATTAAATATATTTATAATTTTAGTTTCGCATGCTTTTTATCTCCGATATAATATATTTGAACACCAAGAATTAACCGAAACGAGTTCTGTCTCATGCTTAGACATGCTTAGAGTGCCTCTTGCAGATTCTGTAGTACATCTGAATAGACATACATTTAAGAGGAACATAGTACCTTATTCTCGAAAAAAAAAAATTCATACAACTAGTCAAATAGAATTTAGGAGCTGAAATTCAGCAGATGTGTTCACCTTTTTATTATTGAGGGCTGGGTGGATTTTGAAAACACTTCATTTTTAATACATTTTTAAACGATTTGCTTATCTGTATTTTAATTATAATAAAATAAGACCATGGAAATCGTATTAAAAATAAAGTGTTTTCAAAACCCATACACCCAGCCGTCAGTAATAAAAGGGTGAAAAGCTCTGATTCAGCTCTTAATTTCTATTCGTCTAGTTGTAAGATATTTTTAAATAATATTTAATTTTACGTACTCAATATTTTCGGCCAATGTTGAAATTTTGTGAGACTCTTTTTGACTAAATGTATACCCCAATCACTGTAAATTAAAACGTTCAATTACCCTATTTTAAGCTTTTCTGTTTTTTTTTTTTTTCGAGAATAAAGTATTATGTTCCTCTAATGCCCTCTTCAACAAAAACCAAATCTGAACTCGCTCTCGCAAATCCCGTCCACGGAACGTGAGACTTATTATTAGTTTTTACCTTCATTGAATATTAACTAATTCCTATTTAATCCATACAGTGTGTAACAGCCAAATGAAATAAATTCAGTAACTCAATGACTGCATATTTATAAAAATCCCGAAACCGTTCTATTTTAGATTATAAAAAGACCCCCTTCGAGTGACAGTTGCAACCCCCAAATTTGTAAATAGGAAGAAGGGGCTTGTGATACCTCATTTGAAAAGTTTCTTCATTCTCTATTCAAAAATGATGTGATTTGCAAATAATTTATTGCAAAAATAATTAATTACTAATAGAGTTTCCTTCTTGATAATGTAACGAAATAACAAAAACATCAATCTACTATAATGTTCAAAATACATGCCATGAACGCCTGGCATCATCCTAATCGTAAATAAAATTGTCTTCTAACGTTATTCTAATGTTATTGTTCTTCTTAAATCAGCTAAATCGCGTGGTTTAGTTTTGTATAGCATATTCTTCACATATTCCCATAAGAAAAAGTCTAATGACGTATAATCAGGTAATCGTACTGGCCATTCTATCAATCCTCGCTTCCCTATCTACTGATTTGTAAATATTTGGTCAACGTACTGTTGGACATTATTTTGGTAATGTGGTGGTGCTCCATCCTGCTGCAACCAGATTACATACGCTGGAACTTGACATTGATATAAATTTGCCAAAGTTGGCACTACAATATTTTGGAACAATGTTAAATAATTAGTTCCATTCAAATTGCCATCAATGAAAAAGGGACTAATGACATGGTTTCCAACTATCCCTGTCCAAACATTAACCTTTTTAGGGCATTGTGTATGTTCTTCTCACATCCAGTGAAGATTTTCATAAGAACACTATCGACAATTTTGAAGATTAATATGGCCTTGATGAATTAAATTATGCCTTAAAAAATAACAATAATACTAGTCCTGGATACCTCTAGCAGTTACTACCCCTTGATATTTTTAATGATTTCATATCACATGGAATAGATGAAGACAGTCTCAAGAAAGTCATTGTAGTAGACCAAAAAGTGGAAAAGATCCAAATTTGGCTCAATCATACTGGGCAATCTCACTTCAGTCTTGTGTGTTGAAAACCTTATAGCGCATGATCAAGACTAGACTAGAATGGTGGTTAACTAAAGAAAAATTACCCCCAAGTAATCAATTTGGATATAGAAAAGGATATGGAACGATGGATGCTCTCTCCACTCTGACAAGTGACATTCAGAACAATTTCTCCCGAAATAACTATTTACCTACCCTTTTCATAGATGTAGAAGGTGTCTATGATAGTGTAGATCTATCAATATTAAAGATTAAGATGATTGACGAGTTCAAAATTCCTTCTTCGATTGCTAATATAATTATAAAATTTTATTCCAGCACTTGTATATATGTAAGAGATCATGAAAATAAGCTGGTAGGCCCACGTTACACCAGTATTAGTCTACCACAGGGATCTGTTTTGACGCCCCTACTTTTTAATATTTATACCGCCAGTTTACATAAAATTCGTTTAATATACCGTTCAAAGTTATCCAATATAATATGTCAATATGCAGACGATATATGTATCTACATGTAACAAAAGAAATATGACTCTTCCCTTACATCCTTAAATACAATTATGTCTAGTTTGCAGTCTTGGTGCCGTATTAATGGTTTTGAAATTTCTACCAACAAGACTGTTGTATGTATTTTTACTCGACACAGCACATCCAATAATCATAATAATACAATTAATTTAAAACTACAAAAATTTCCTTTGCAAACACACGCTAAATATCTTGATCTTGGAATGCGCTTTGACAAGAAGCTCACGTGGAAACATCACATTGAATATGCGTTGAACAGGTGTTAAAAGGGCTTAAATTTTCTAAAATATATCTTGAAAGTTTGGTTAGGTGCCGATGTTAATATAGGTTTACTATTTTATAGATCCTACATTCGATCTATACTGGACTATGAGTGTATTTTGTATGGACCGGCCAACAATTCTCTACTGAACTTATGTTCATGCTTGGGTACTATGAAATCTACAAAAACTGAATCCCTTTATATCGAAGCTGTAAATATAGAATATAATACCTAAGTCAAAAATTTCTCTTTAAGGCATTCTTACATAATTCAACCTTATTTTCTGAAATTATTCAACTTAATACATATGATTTAACAAATAAATACTGGATTCATAAAAACTCACCGCCATTATGTAAAACTGTTCAAAATTGTAAGTTCTTTCGACCAATTCTTCATTACATCCGACTTTCCTTGTTTCTTTACCAAAGTCTTACTTAGACAACCCAATTATGATGAAAATCCTCATAATTGTTCAAATCTACTCCTTTGTAACCTAAATAGCTTTCCTGAACATACTGTTATATACACCGATGTATCCAAGTCAGACCTAGACACTGGTTGCGCCTACTACGTCCCGTCTTTTCATATTAAAGCTCTTTACAAACTACCTGATAACTTTTCTAGTTACACTGCAGAAGTGATTGCGATACTAGAAGCCTTACAATTTGTAACAGAATCTAACACTAAAGCAGCTCTAATTGCTTCAGATTCTTTATCTGTTTTAAAATCGGCTGTAGCTCTGGACATTCCAAATTTTAATTCAAATCCTTACATTTTCTTGATCAAAAAGGTATTGTTCCAACTAATTAATAATAACGTAAAGATATCCTTTATATGGGTAAAGGCTCATATTGGACTTAAACACAATGAATATGTTGATATGCTAGCAAAATCTGCAATAAAAAAAGGAACTAACATCTGCAGTAGCCCAGATATTGTTGCCTTGATAAAATCTAACAATATGAGAAAATGGAAGCATGATTGGTCACAATTCTGTTCCACTTATTCGAATAGTACACTAAAATTCAAAAACATATTCCAAACTCACTCTGGTTAAAAAATCATATAATTCCAAGACACTACATTACATCTTTAATTAGTACCAGATTTGGTCATGCCAATTATCCCAAACACTTGTTTAAAATTAATGTAAAAGAAGATGAAAATTGTGATTTTTGTGAAACAACTGGAGACCTTAATCACGTTTTTCTTCGAATGCAAAATATTGATATTATCAATTGCCTCTTACAATTTCTGACAGAGACCAAGATTCGTCTATGATTGGAATCTTAATCTTGTTTCCTCTGTATTGTACATATTTGTTTACCCGATTACGAAGGCCTAATTTTGTTTGTCTGTTACGAGAAGCGAGTGTCCCTTTCATATATTGTTTTTCTTCTTACACCTCTTGCTGTTAGGAAATAGTCTTGGGTAGTTCTAATTATGGACGAATCTGTGTCTGGCTGAATGGCAATGAGCCTATGCAAAAAAAAAATATGGCCTTGAAGTGTAAAAGTGCATTCATCAGAAAACATTTTCCTTCCAAAAATTCGTTCTTCTATCAAAATCGTCTTCCATGAGCTCCTGAATATCTATAGGGATGCATTTTATTTTCTTTTAGGGTTGCCACCTTTTTGAAAAGTGAATAAGAATAAAGATAGGGTTGCCAGATTTACGAAAGGGAAAATCTGGACAATGGTGACGACAGGAATCCGGTTAAAATATTTTTGGCAAGCTTCTAAAAAAAAGGTCCTCAGCTTATATTTTTATAAAAACCAGGTAGTTTTAAAGGACATGTGCTGAAAGAAGGACATGTGCCGTAAAAAAGGACATGTGCTGTATAAAAGGATATGTGCCGTAAAAAAAACATGTCCCCGTAAAAAAGGACATTTTAAGCTTTAAAATGTCACAAGGACAATTTGTTTGAAAAAAGGACAGGCGACAACCCTATTCTCTTTTAATATTCGAGTGATCGATGTATAGCTAACACCATCTAATATACCGGCTGCTTGTCGACTCAAAGTATGTAGTAAGTTCGAAGAAGGCTTTTTTTTATCATGTTCAAGCTTTCGTAATTTTACTAATTGTCCTGTGACATATAGGCGTCAATTCGGGAAATTTTTCTTGAAATAGGCTTCGTGTTTTATCTCCGTAATCGATCATTTATAAAATTGTTATTTTATGCATTTCTGTTAAATAAACCATGTTTCTGCATGTCATGCGGTTACAATTACGCATCCAGTTGCTGCGTTTTAAACGAAATTAATAGTGCCAACTATGAAGAATATTGATTAATTTTCTCTTTTTTTTGTTAATAAAAAAAGCCAATTTTTATTTGTTTTTCATTATGTTGCAGCGAGTTTCGTCGATCAATTAAATTAATTTTTTTTACAGTTAAGTTTTGCAATAAATTTGAAAATCACAGCATTATTGAATGGAAAATAAATAGATCTTTTAAATGAGGGATCACAAGCTCATACTTCCTATTTACAAATTTGGGGATTGCAACTGTCACTCGAAGGGGGTTGAAGATAGGGGTGAAATTTTCACATTGTTGGATGTCATTTTATAATCTAAAATTGACGGTATTTTTTATAAATATGCACAGTAATTGAGATACTGAATTTATTCCATTTGGCTGTTACATACTGTATAATAGAAATTATTGTAAATATGTCTAACGTAAATATTTTCCATACTGTGTAAAAAAGTTCCATAAGGCTATGAACCAAACGACGTTTTTTTAAAGAATTTAATGAATAATTCGAGGGGTAAACCAGATTCGCGCGTATCGGGGACAACACTAATGATTTGTAATTGCTGTGGTGGGAGGTGTTTGTGTGAATCCGTCTTGTTTGTTTTCATTTACGCCGTGACTAGCAGTACATCGGATGTACACAAAATATTTGTACATCGGATGTATCCCCCATTATTTGTACATCATAATTCTAACCTAACTTTATTTCAGATGATGGAATGGGAGACTTAAGTATTCTTCTGTAGTATTTTATAAACCTTAGAAGCAAATTTCACATACATGAACTAATAATAATAATAATAATAATGCCGTGACAACAAGAAGACGAAGCAACGACTTCTCGTAGGGTGTCGGCTTCGCCGCCACCAGAAAATTTCAATCCATACCTAGCTACGCCGACCGGCATAAACACCAACGGCCTGGACACAGCTCACCTATTCTGTCAAAAGGAGACCGATGTACAAATAAAACGCGTACATCCGATGTACTGCTAGTCACTGTCTTTCACTTAACTTTTACTAAACCTAAAAAGAGTCCACTCGAGCATATAAAATACCTGATATGAAGGTGGAAAAATCACTGCATAGATTTTAGATTTTACCTAATATCTTCTTATAAAATAAATTACAGAAAATGGACAGATAAAAAAGTGCTTTTATTTCGAAAACTGAATTTAATAAAGTAAAAGTAGGAATCATGAAAGCAATTTTTTTTAGGTTAGGTCATAAAAATCATAGATAACATGCGCACTACAAATCATTAGTGTTGTCCAGATACGCGAGTGAAAACCAGTCCCGCAATATAGGTAGGTTTTCACTCGAAACCACTACAAATTCCCTCGAAATTTCCGAAATCTTCACGAAAATCATGGTCGAAATCATCACTGCAATCACTTCGAAATCATCACCGAAATCACCTCGGAATCAATTTGTTGCTCACAGAGCTGGGACGAATCCTCAAAAAATTGATTCGAATCACGAATCCGAATCACGAGATGTGATTCGAATCACGGATCCTATGTCCGAATCCTTTTTGCAATAAAAAAGGATTCGAATCAAGTGATTCGAATCCATTTTTTTGGATCACGAATACGAATCACTGTCAGTGTCATACCGTGGTATTATGTATGCTTCCGAATCTAATATCAATATCAGCTATGTGACTATTACGGATTATGACTTGCATACAAAAAATGTTTATACAAGAAGATGTTGAAAAGAATAAACTTATTTTTTTTTTCTATAAATATGAACCATATATAAATAAATTAGAATCTACAAAAAATATATTTTATTTTAATACAAAAAACAAAATAACCAATGTTATAAAAATTTCTTTTGGTTGGCCTTACATAGCACCAAAATTTCGAGGTGCGTCGATTATACCTACAAACAAAAATAATCGTTAGTCTGCACCAGACGAAGGAAGGCAAGTGTTAAATTTTAGGATTTTTTTTATGTTGGATATTCATTGCTAAATTGTGATGTCAAAGAAGGCAATTTTGAGTTGAAACCTATGCCATATTTTTAGGCTATTTTAAAGCCATTTTTATGTTACTGTTTTTATGCAAAAATCAAGGTGCTCTGCTAGCTTCGAACGAAGTCAGCGGAGCACCTCAGTTTTTAAGTTTTTTCCAAAAACAACGACACAATATTTTTAGGATATTTTTAGGCTCTTAAAATATTATTTTTAAAAAATACAGGATACTTTGCTAGCTAGATTTCCGAAATACAGGTACGATTTGATCTTACTGGTTTGCCCCTCGAGATAATTTATCTAAAAAGGTGTTGTTTGTACACGACTGTATATCAATTTTTGGCTACCAAACATATTTAAGTAAAATAGCTTTTTTTTTATTTCAGACCAACATTGTACATCCAACCGATTTCCAGTCACAAAAATTCCAAAGAAAAACACAACCAGGATAATTTTCACAGAACATACGACAACCTTCTTCGTAAAGACTACATAATTTCACCGCACAACAACTTTTACTGTAACCACTCAGGGGATTATCAGCCGCAGTTCCATGAACCACTCATTCAATGTGAATCCAGTACTAGCGGCGAGGAGAAAAAATCAAATCACGCAAGATATAATCTCATCAACTATGAAGAATCCGGAAAATCTATTATTTTGGAAATAGAAAAGGAGAAACCGCCTTGTTCTCAAGTTAACGATTCGAACAATAGCAAATATGCAGATAATGTAAATAAGTTTTGTGTTGAAAAAACTTTTTTATCATAAACAAGTCGAAATGTCTTCCCATAGACTGAACATTTTTAAAGTTATTGTACTTATTAATATTTTTATATGAATTGAGAGGGAAGATGACAGATTTAATGGATTATGTGTCTAGAAATAAAAAATATTCAAGTTTATATAAAACAAGCTACTTCCGAGATTTGAGAATACAATATTTCATCACAACACATCTTCCATTTAATTCTAGGCTGTGAATTAAGATCCATTAACTGTTAATTATTTACCATATAGTTATTGGTAGGTAATAAGATATATTAGTGCGGCGAATTTTCTGTTCTACTGATAGTTAAATTCTACCAAAAACAAACCATTCTGTCATTGAATTTGACATACGTTTTTTAGTTTGTTTAAATAATAGAGAGATATTGCAAATTTCTGTAACGCCAGCCACTATAAATTCCATGCTAAAATCAGGCTTATTGCAAACCTGAAATTTTGACGTTAGAATCATTGTCCTTATACTTATTTCTAATCTCATTTCAATAACTTTAAATTATAGTTCCTTTTTTGTTATCTATAATAATATTGAAGAGGCATTAGAAATTATAATTTTATATTAAATATTTAATATTAAAAAACTTCGAATGGATACGAATGTCGGCGAGCGCACTCGAAAGCTTTAAAGCAGGGGCGTGCGATCCATGGAAGCGGGGAAAGCACCGCTTCCCTACACTTTGAGATTTAAAAATTATTTTTTTTCAGTTTACAATGCATAGAAATTAATATTAAATTAGGTACTATATTTTCTCTGAAACATTACGTAAACTTCGTAAATGTACTAACAATTCATTGGTGTAATGTGTAAACGCACGCACTCATGAGAAAATTAATTGGCGGAAGCGCGTCTTGAAAAAGCCGGCTCGTCTTCCAATTGATTTCGCTTCGTGTTATTGACCCTTTGCTTTGCTGCGACAGTAGTCAGTCTATTTGGATACATAAAATACGGTCGAGAGGCAGCGATTTTTACGTCGCCTTACGCATATTACAATTCGCACCGCGAATCGACGTGGGAGGAAAATCGTAGACTTCAGATAGATTTCGGTTTGTTTTTCGTAGTTGTTTTTCTTTTTGCAAAATGGAGGAACTATGCACTGTGCCTGTGAGCAATAATAATGTGGTAAATTGTGTCTGTATTGTGTGGGCATTTAGGAAGCCTTCAAGCTAAAGTGAAAGAGAAGTTTAAACATGCAATTTTCGTTCACTATATAGCACATAGACTTAATTTGGTTTTATCGCGAAGCATGGATAGATAATATTAAGGATTGCAAAGTTTTCTTTTCGACGCTTAGTGGTTTGGCTTCCTTCTTTTCAAAGTCATCGAAAAGAACTCGCGCTTTGGGCATTCACGTTTAAAATAGGTTTCCAATAGTTGCTCCGACGCGATGGAACTACAATGGACGTTTAGTGCAAACAGTGTTTCAATACCGTGATTCTTTGATACACTTTTTTCAAGACGTTTGGGATAATAATGAAACATGGGATGCTGAAACTGTTACTGCCGCTAAAGGGTATTTGCATTGGCTCAAACAAAACTTTGATTTCAATTTTTTGCTCAACATTTTTGCAGAGATTTTCCCTTTTACTGACATTTTATTCGACATTTTACAAAGTCAAATGACATTGGCTTTTGCAATAAACAAATTGATGATTTAAAAATAAAATTAATAAAAAACGAGATCAGTTTAAACACTTTTGGAATAAGACTCAAAACATTGGCCTTAGAACCTGAAAGAAAGAGAATTAGAATTGATAATGTCGGCGACAGAGAGACCTCCTATCGTCGATTATACGCCGACATTTTTGATAATATTTTACAACAAATGAACTCTCTATTTCAAAACTTTAACGAATTAAAATTTGTTGAATTGTGCAATTTTAATTAGTAACTACGATTCATCAAAATTTCCATCGGAAGCTTTTAATTCACTAAAATTAAATTATGGAAATGTTTTCGATATTCCAGCATTAAAGTCCCAGTTAAGTGTTGTTTATGAAACAACTGAAATTAGTGATAAAAAGACGCCCATCAATGTGTTAAATTTTCTTATAACAACTGGTTTAAATAAGTCCCTTTGTGAAGTCGTCAAGTTGTGTGAATTAGTACTAACCATCCCAGCCACAAGTGCGTCAGTTGAGCGAAGTTTTTCAGCTTTAAAGCGCATTAAAAGTTTTATACGAAATTCAACAAGTGAAAACAGACTCTCTAATTTAGCCCTAATATCCATTGAAAAACAGCTTGTTAAACAGTTATCAGAAAATTCAAAATTTTATGACGATGTTATAGCCATTGAGGATAGGCGAATAGATCTTAAGTATAAATAAATGTCAACTGTGCGAAAAATGCAGGAAAAAATAAAAAATTTCAGTTAAATGTTTTTGTTACGTTTATATAAACCAAGGAAGCTTTTCAATGGTAAGTTTTTTTATAGCTTCTAGTACTAAACTAGGTAATAAAGTAATAGTAACACTTCAAAATTCTCAATCTCGAATATCCGTAGTACTGAGGAAAAAAGCAAGATTTTGACAAAATGGTGAATGCGCCGCGAAAAATTTTCGTCTGCGGCGCTGATTACTGGCCTGCTGTATTTTTATACAATCGCTTCCCCTTCCAAAAATGCCACCGCACGCCACTGCTATAAAGTCGCCACTACTTGCTGCCCTTAAACATCCACAAATAAGGACAAGCACAATATTTAATAAAGTCAGTTTTAGAACATATACGATCTGCGCATGTTTAGATGTCAAAATAAGAGCGGCACTAATAGTGACTGACATTAAGTGAACTTGCAATACCTCTCTATTGTTTGCAGGTCGTAAAAAAATAGTTTAAAGGTAATAGTACATTATACACTTAGGTTGAGAAGTGAACTATTATTTACCGAGCACTTTTATATCCTTTGACGCGTCGTGCGCCGAAGGAAATAATGTGCGGGATTTATAATGGCCTTCTCAACCGAAGTATATATAGATTTTTTTACTACTGATATATTACCATATTTGATCTGATTTGATTAGATTTTGATAAACCAGCTTTAGTTATTTCCTATTTATTTTTCAAATATTTCGAAATATCAGGTAGTCTGGGAGTTTAGTTGTCAAATTACCAAAATAAAACTAATGTAATTCAATTTCATTAGTTACCTAGGTATTTTGTTATTATCATTATTTTTATTAGGTCTACTGGCACTGAACTTGTCAATGCAACACAAATTACGTCATCACTAATATAACGTATAGGTATACAATTTTTTTATTGACTAAGAATAAACAAATAGGTGTAAATGAACTTACATCTAAAGAAACGATTTTTTAATTGTTACAAATTATTGTTAAATACATTAATAGATATTATTTTGTATATCAAAAACTCGTACCACAGTTTATTGCTAAAGAATCAGTTAGCTCACTTGGACCAGTTGAATGTTCCAAAATAATATCCACTCCGGGGATACAAATTCAGGATGCGCAGAAGACTACTATTTGAATATAGGCTGTTGTCATGTATTGGATTGGTTATGATTTGATTCTGTATGCGCCAGGGATTCAAATCCAAGTTGCGCAGTGTATAAACTGGAACATTGAGATCAAAAGTGCCGACGATTATGTGTGGTAAATTACTTTGTTTTCTTGAATGTTTACATTTACTTGATCTTTTATTTAGGAATATGATATGTATTATAGAATTGGAAATATAAGAGATAAATCCGACGTCAATTACTTAATGGAATATCGCTACTTATGGATAATTTTACAGGATTGCAATTTTAATCTTTTTCATGTGTTCAATAGCACAAATCAACGATTTACTTGTTTAATTATTAGTTATTTTTAAAATGTGAACATAACTTTTTAACTTTCCTTTAAAAATACATGTGACGTTTCAATATACACCCTCTGTGATTGCTATGGAAACCCAATAATATAAAACGTCTACTTGGTTTATTGCGATTTTATGAGACACTTTGAAAAAAATTGAGGTACAGTAAACATCTTGGACTAATACATTGTGACTTAAGCAAACATTCATACCTATTTCTTTATTGACATTTCTGTTCAGATATCTATAGCTGCGTTCAATGGGACATAGCAATCTTAATCGATACCAATCATTTTAGCTACATTATATTTATTCAGGTGCACTAATCACTAATTTATTAACTTATTATTTACAAGTAGTTACATTATATATAGACATTTGATGTTTATAATTGGTTAGATTTATTATATTGGTTTTTATCTTATATTTCCAATCGGACAGTACTTAAAATTAATGCTTAGGGCTTCCCGCCTAAATTGACTGATTGACAAAAAGAAATATCTAAAATGTTTCACTTTGTTGTAGTCCTTTTTTACTCAAAAACTCTTACTAGACACAGAAGTAATTAATTAAATTAAAAAATCATAATTTAACTCAATAAAATGTAAACAAAGTGAAGCAATATTTTAATTTTTACAACCTTGATGGTCGTATTTTAACAAAACAATATGAATAGAAATGTGATTGTGTTTTTACTAACATTTGACAATAATTACGAAATAAAAAAAGTATTTAGTCGAAAATCGTTCTTTCAATAATTTTATCTAATGTTATTGACTTAAATTTATTTCTGAATAGAAATATAAATAGCTCCTAAATTCTTGTTTTTGTAAATATGTATAGTTTTGTACTTATTTTCTATTTCGCCTATTTTTAGTCTAAATCTCAGATAATTAATTTCTTAAGAATATAGTTAGATATATTGTACATTATTTGCTTATTTATATATACTATACCGTTCCTTGTATGTAGAATCATTTATTAAATATTTTTGTAAAGTGATTTTTACGAAATAAATGCTATTTTGACTGATTTATATTTATATTTTACCTTCTGGATAGTTCGGCATGTCTGATGAAAATTCAAGGTAACACCTCAGCGAATAAAAGCATCCAGTCTACGTGCTATGAAGTGAGGTGAAATACTTATGTTCCATATTTAGCCTATAAAATAGTTTTTCAACAATTTTAACGCACCAGTCATTGTTAAGATTAATTTTTGTTTTAAAACTTTCGATAATATCGGCCTTAATTTATTAGAATAATAAATGTTTTTTTTGTGATTTTCTGAGAGTAGTTGCAGGTTTTAACAAATAATATAGAGGAAGATTTGAGAAAATACAGGGGAATGCATTTGATTTAAGCTTAGTTTGTACAGGAATTTTTATTAAATTTCCATTGGGTTGCAAATAGTTATAATCCCATATAATTTCACTTTCAGGAGAGTGTGTATGACAAACTACTGCTGATTTTTAAATAATAAAGTTCGCCCTAGGAATTACCTAGGAGCATATCAAATAGAAGAGTGAGGTTTACCTAACTTGAAACTTGAAGCCTCTCCAAATCCTACACTCCCTTGAGAAGATAGAATTAGAAGGGTCGTTATAGGCATCGAGACATTTCCTCGCTGCATTAGCGACAGAAGGGGGCACAATAAATCTTTTAGGACGCAGTGTATTAACACCCCATTTCCAACATAATATAGCCCTAGGAATTGCAATTAACCCATTTTCACCTTGAATTATTGTTCTTCGGAAATTAATAAGGGGATGTTAGATTTCTACCCTGTTCTTTTTTTAAACGCTGTTATAATGACTAATAGCGAGTAATACAGCAGGTACTAAACATAATTAAAGTTATTGTCTACCTTGTAACGAGTCGACAACGGGCCACCAGACACTTTTTAACACTTATTTTAATTAAATGATCAGAAGTTTGGTTAAAAACACCACGAGAAGATATCCATTGCAGCCATTCCGTTAGAGCTACACTGCCCTGCTTAGCTAAGACGTCCTATCTGAAAAAAATTCAGTGTTTGAGGTAAAAGCATATTTGTGATGCAGACATGCATCTACAAGGTTTTTCTAATGCAAAAACGTCCTAACTACAATATAAAGATATAAAGCACTTGTTTCAGTTTCGTCCTAATATTTACATAGTCATGTCAGACAGGACGTTTTAGCTATGCAGTTCAGTATACAGGTGTAACAACAAAAACCACTCTATTTCGGTAATACATAGTTTAAAGAAAAATTCACAAACTCTCGACTCTTATTACACTTTTTTAACAACTAATTAAATTTCACTTAATCTGAACATTTTTCGAAAAAAATCTATGGCTAAACAACACGTTACGCTTTAAAAGGATACTAAAACATATGTGAAATGAACTCGATCGCAGCATTGCCAGATTTCTCTTTGCTAAGCTAGAATAAGTAGAGTCTGTAATGACTCCACCATTAATAAGGCTTGTGGCTACAGCGGCTAGGCTTCTAAATGTATCCTTTTTCCTTTCTGTGTGGTTCATCTATTAATTTTTGGGGTACAAGCAACAAAATTAAAAAGCGGAAAAAATCGTGTGGATTTAGACAAGATGAAAATAACTGTTATTAAATAACATTGGTCATGATACATAGTATATAGTTTCTTAATAGGAAAGATCGGGGTGAAAATATATACGTTCCTTGATTTTATTTCGGCAATAATGACTTTCAATGGGTACGATCGATGCTATAAATACTTCTATGGCTTCTCTTCGTGCTGCATATGCACATTTTTTTCGATCTCCTCTTCTTTCGTCCGCCATTGTTCCCTGTTTATAATGTCGAGTTAAAACACCTTGTAAACGACCTTTTTTGATTTGCAAAATATCCACAAAGGCAGTTTTATATACGGGTACCATTTTTTTGGTGTTTTTTGTGACAATTTTATATTTTGTTAACACTAATGTTGGTGGTGATGTTCCGGTTTTTGGTCGTACACATTTTACAGCTATGGTGTGTATATATTTAAGTATGAAATTGCTTGGTCGATTTTATTCTTTTTGGCGTAAAAGAAAAGAAAATGAAAGAAAAAATCATCGTTAGAGTTGAGAGTTTTGCAACGAAATGCAGTACTGTCATGACCACAAGTGGGTTTTTCACTTTTGAAATAACACAACAGAATAAGAAATATGACTCGAATTCATTTATTTTGTATTTCATAAAATTGTTACACACTGTACTTTCAATTATAGTATATATTATTAAACCAGCAATTTATGTTAGCCATTATTCACGCAGGGTGACGGTCACCCGAGTGAATAATGGCCATAAATTGCGAGTCTAATACTATATTTTGTCCACGACCATTATGGTTTCTTTATTAAATAAAAGTTAAGTGTAGAATGGAAAGTTTTTATTAAACATAGGTAACTAAGAGT